ATCTTGTTGTTTATGCCGAATGCATTGCAGTAGATCTGCACACTGATTATTTCAGATTAATGCAGGAAGGCCTGTCTTGCTGTCTTTCTGACACTGGCTTTCACGTCCTCATCTGTGCCGCCTGTAGTTGAAATGATGCTGCCTAGGCAGGTGGATAGGTGAGAGATAACTTCCTTTAGGTTTCTCTCATCGAATTGGTAATTCTTCAGCTATACCTAGATATCTTAACCTCACTTCTTTTCTACTTGGTTGGTCACACTTAGTACAAATTTTTGAGGGACTGGTCAAACTGAGCCAAATGTCCTGAAGTTACTAAGTGTTCTGTAACAGAGTGGAAGATACATTTTCGTTCTCCCCTTGTTAGCAAGGTTGGTTAGTATTCGCCAGCGCGTTGCATAAGCTGGCGCGTGGTACAGCCGATGTACTCGGCTCCACATACATACACTGATGTGACCCAATTCTCTGGCTCATCCTTTATCTACTGAAGAGTGAATTCCTCACAGGAGAATATGTTTCTAAGATTGGTGGCAAAGAATATTCCGTTCTTGATAGTCTGTTTCTAAAGATATCTGCCGCATTGTCTTCCTTGAATTCGAGGTTCAGCAGTGAAATGTTTCTTGGAAAAATATTTACCCGTTTCGCATCATTTTTCGGCTTTAGATTGTTATCTATAAATTTTAGTGGGTATCCGTTTTTCATCAGGATTTCTCGCAAGTTTTTTCATCAATCTTCACTGGTATCCTCTGTGCATATATTTGAGGAAAGTGAGTTGACAAGATTCCTCTTTCTGTTTAAGCGGACTTGTTTTTGAAAATCAATAAAGTGCTCGTCTCTAGTGAGTTTTCTGTCACCTGATGCTTGAAGAATAAAAATCGTAGGAAAGCTGTTTATCAAGTATAAATGAATGCAAATAGAGATGAGAAGTGGATTCTTTGTTTGTAATATTTGACGAAATGAGCTCTAATCTTTTCAGATACACTTTGCTGATGAATGCTAACAACTGCGAGACCTAGATGTAGCAGAATTTCTTTCCGGTTGACTTTAGTCATGTAACAGGAAGCATTTGATCTTCGTTCCAATCCTCTCAGCTCAGTAGTCATAGTGTGAACTTGGTCGATGGAGTTCTATCGAAGCTGAAGGCTAGACAGCAAGATTTGACCTATTAATGTTCTCATATTACCTTCCGTTTCGTCATTCCTAGGTTATATTTTATTCGCATTTTCCACTGAACCCCGTATAAGGACTGAATAATTTTGTTTTCTGCTTAACCACTGTCGATTACCTTAAATAAAATTCATTTATAAAGGGATTTGTATAAATTTGTTTAAACTTATTCATAACCCCTTTATAAAAATAGTTAGGATTTCATATTTATGGTAAAACATATGAATGTTTTATTTGCATCCTGTTGGGACTCTTTAGAACTGAGAGGAATCGATGGTTACAGACCTATATGTCACAGGTTGAAAATGACACATTTGATATGTATGTTTTCTCTTACTATCTCCCTTCATCCCACTGTTCAAGTTCTTACTTATTCCTTGTAGTAAATAAATGAATAATTTAGAAGTAGTATTCATCATGGACTGACATCAGTTGGGGAACTATTGAGAATCTGGGGAACTAGACAACTGTTTCGTCCTAGTATGGGACTCATCAGCGGTACGCACCCACAACCAGGCTAGGGATGGAACTCAGGACTTTCAGGTTTCTTGGCGAACGTGTTAACCAGTATATAGTGCTCATTAGTGACTTGCTTCCAGATGGCTATCAGGAAGTTCTAGTGAGAAGCCGTGACCTGTGGGGTCAACCAGACGGAAGTGAAGCGGATGCCAACTGAAAACCTTGGGTGATAGTCGCGCTATATCGTGAATTGATAGAAGTTGGAAACTATAAACCACTGAAAATCGGCCCAGTGGTTGAATGGTTAATGCGTTCGCCGCGAAACCTGAGGGTTCTGAGTTCGATGCCTAGCCGGGTCATGGGTGCGTACTGCTGAGAAGTCCCATACTAGTGGGACGAAACAGCTGTCCGGTGCTCCCAGCTTTCCAATAGTTCCCCAACTGATGTCAGTCCGTAATGAATACCATCCCTAAGTTAAAAATCCCCATTCATCTCAAAAATCAATAATTATAACGACTTTGTTGTAGACAATATGTGTGATACAGTGCGGAATTCTCAGCATTTAATAATTCAACAAACTCATTCCTTGCACATTATTTTTGCTCAAAATAATTATCATTTCGACCATCTGAGATAACTAGGTGATGATTAAAGGTGAAGTGAAATTTCGGACCACGGCCGGATTCAAACCAGCGACCACCGGGTTTCCAGCTCGATGCTCTACCAATTGAGCTACTAGGTCTGACTGCTGACCAGGTTTCTATTCCACTTCAATCACCATGGGTTTGGCCCGACTACCATGTTAATTGGTGATGTGCTACTACCGACCACTGGTTGTCTAGTCAGGACTGATTGGATTGGATTGAAATAAAAATTTGGTCAACAGTCGGACTTTGTAATTCAGTTGATAGGGCGTCGGACCAGAAACCCGATGGTTACTGGTTCGAGTTCGACCGAGGTCCAAATCTTCATTTCACCTTCAACCGTCATCCAGTATGAAAATCATTATTAGAAATTAGTTTCCAATCTGGATTTCTGGTAAGTGAATAGAAAATAGAGCGAAACTTTGGTGGTGGTAGCCTATTCAGCCAGTACAAAAATCTGCAATTCGACATAGGTATCCTAGAAATAGTGATGTGGTGTATTCTAGTGTATTCATAAGTCCATTACCTACCATTGAATGGGGTGTTTCGTGAGAGTCATGTCATGTTTTCCACTTTCGTAATGGTCACATTGCATACTTGGTGGACGACAGAATTCACATAATACTTATGAGTAGACGACAGTTATTAGGATTAATGTGTATCTTCTGTTTTTTTTTTCATATACATTAGCTTAGATTAACGCTTTTATAACCCTTGGTTTTTACATATTTGTCGTGTGGATTTTTCGATCCAATAGGTTTAGTGATTTTTATACTTACTTGAATTTCGAGGAGGTTGTGAGGATTTAGAAATATTTCAAGTTGTTATACATCTTAGACTGACATCAGTTGGAGGAACAATGGGAACCTGAGAGAAATAGACAGCTGTTCCGTCCCACTTGCATGGGACTCCTCAGCAGTGCGCACCCACGACCCCGCCTTCCAGGGATCAAACCCGCGACCTTCAGGTTCCGCTGTCAGCACGTTACCATTGAGCTACTGGGTTAGGATCCAGTAGTCCATATTTCCAACTTCTGTCAGTTCACGGCATAGCGCGACCTACATCCAATGTCATCGTTAAGTAACTGTCCTCACGGCCATCCGGCCAGCCTCACCGGTCATGTTAGTCTACGATGAATACTAGCTTGAAATATTTCTAAATCCCCACAACCTCTTCGAAATTCAATTGGACTGATGCTCATTGGTGACTAGTTTCGAGAGGTGATTCACGAAGTTCCAATGAGAAGTCGTGACCGGTGGGGCTAGCCGGATGGTTGTGAGGACAGTTACTCAACGATGATATCGGGTGGCGGTTGCGCTGTCGTGAACTGACAGAAGTTGGAAATATGGACGATTGGATTCCGACCTAGTGGCTCAATGGTAACGAGCTGGCAGTGGAACCTGAAGGTCGCAGGTTCGATCCGTGGAAGGCGGGGTCGTGGGTGCGCACTGCTGAGGAGTCCCATGCAAGTGGGACGAAGCAGCTGTCCAGTGCTCCCAGGTTTCCTTTGTTCTTCCAACTGATGTCAGTCTACGATGAATACCAACTTGAAATATTTTATGCTCACTTTTTTTTATTGGGACGATATATACTCACTGAAATAAACCACTTTATATGCATTGGTGAAAAACCGGTATAGATCGTGATGAAGAACCCGTATTTCCTAAAAAAAGAGGTAGTGTTCGTATCTGACTACTTTCGTTATCTGTAGTTCTTTTCATTTTTGCAAACTGATGGACTAATGAATGTAGAATCTCTCCAAAAGCAGCTTATAAATCCCCTGAATATAATCTCAATAATACAAAAGTAGTTCGAAGATGTTATCATCGGTTAATATTCCCGATCTTCTACTGTTTTGGAACCACTAAGAAGGCTATAGAGTACTGCGTTTTATTGTCATGAAGGAAAGTTACATGAGGTTGAATTAGGTGTCATATAGAGTCACTCTGGAAAATTAAATGGTGTTTCTGAAAGACTAGTAAGAAGTATCTACAGATGCATCTTACAGGTGATGATAAACTGGCAAATAGTTTCGTCAAAGATGAATCAAAATTTCTTACACTGTTTGAAAACTTAGGAATCTCTGGACACAAAATTACTCAGAACACTTATAGGTGAGTTTTGATAGTCTAATGAGTATAGTAAAGGATCTATGCTTGTGATGGAGATGGTAGTTTTGAAGACTACTGAACAAGCTGTAAACTGAGCATTAGCAAGTGTTACTACCATAGACAACTGACTAGTGATTTGCCAAAAGATAGACTCAGAGCAGGAAGTATTTTGAGTTCACATGATTACATTAGACACGGATCTACAAAAAACTATGCCAAGAAGGGAGATTCACTCTTCACCACTCTGTTAAAACAGGTTTGTATCACGGTCTTATTTCTCCCTTCTTCACATTGCAGCATAGTAAACACCGAGCTATATCACTATTCGAGTTTGTACTATTATTAAATAAGCTTTAAAGCTTCATGTTCTTCTGGTATGTGTATTACTCGACCGTTTCATTTTTGATTTCCTTCATGGAATCTCTTTTCTGGACTACCATTCAATATACATAACGATGTCTATTTTTGAAAAGGAAGTCTGCAGAGTTGTATATAGCTCGGGTTTAACGTTTTTTCTGCACAAAGGAACAGCATGTATTTCTTCGTGTATACGTGATAGCTGGAACTGATTGCGATTTTCTTGTCATACCCTTAACCCTAACACATTTTCTTCTTCTTGTAGGGAATCAAAACTCAACCTATTCAGTATGGACTACAGGTGTTGATGGCTCCTTACAACTTGAACCTACACAACAGACACCGAATAATGATGATAGCAATGATGATGACAAAAGTGTCAGTGATACTGATTCTAAATATGAATTCCAATTACATTTCCTTGGTCATGGTCGAGTGCTAATACAGTCATTGAACTATCAACGTGGTTCAACTGCTTTAGTAAAATCTGAAATTAAAGGTGATGTCAAATTGGACGTACCAGGAGAATTAACAGCTAATTATATTTGGGAAATTTAATAACAAATCACCATTATTTTATCGATTATTATGCAAAACATATTTATTCATATATCATAAAAGTAATGATAGAAAATTTCATTGATTTTCAATGTTACACAGTTCTTTTTGTTCTATTTGGAGTGACTACAGTGCGTTTGATTGAATGGTGATTGTTACAGAAATCGTTAAAGGAATAGTTCACAATTTTGATTTTCAATTTTTTAATCGTTACTCATGATGCTACTCATTAAACATTTCAGTAGTTCATTTCTCGATATTAAAGATTTTAGTAAATTTGGTAGTAGATATGGCTGAAATATTTCACATTTTTCTTTTGTTATCCTTTTATGATGCTTTTTTTTTTACCATTGGCACTTGCATATTCATCAGTAATACTAATCATTCTTTCAGAAAAGATACACTTAAGAACTAATTGTAAATTCTTTTCCGAATTTTGTGAATTTATTTTATGGTTTTCACATAATTGAAAGGTATAAATTATTTTTTCTTTCATATTGCCATTCCATTGTGGTGAACTTTCGAAAAAAAAAATTCATACATACATACTTAGGCATAAAATGCTTACAACTTTGTTATTTTTATGTTGTGTACTATGTGTTGAGGGGAAAATGTTAATGAAACTTATGAATTAGAACATAAGGTATCCGATTATTTTTAATCAACGGAAGAGTATGCACTTTGAACCAACTATTTACCACAGTACGATGTAACATTGAAAAGTAGATTATATAAAAAGGAAAGCTACAACATTCGAATATAAGTTTATGGTACCAATGTATGAAGTAGGTTTAAGCCATGTAGGACGATGCAGACTAGGTGGTTGGGGTCCACGGGACAAGAGGAACCAGTGGTTGGAGACCCTAGGTGATATGGCTCAGAACCGAAGTCAGTGGCGCAGATGTATACACACATTATCCTCATCTTAACAACGCTATACCGAATCTCACTATTTTGTCACTCCTCTTTCCTTTCTTCTCGTACTTTATATTTCTTTTGACTGCATTCACTTATCTTCATCCTTCACCTCACTACCTTTTTACTTGATGTGCTGATATGAGGTGTGGCAACTCGGACCGTTACGCAGTAATGCCTGGTCCTATGTTGATAATGATGATGATTTTGGAAGAAAATATCTCATCCTTAGTGTATTTACTGAATAAAGACAAGTAAAGTGATTAGTCTTTGGAATATATTCATTTTTTTACTTCGATGACAGACTGCGTAAATTGTGGAATATAGGATGAAGTATCATCGAATCGAAGCATAGGGATTAGTGCAACTAACTGTAGTCTTTATGCTCAATGAATGATTGTATAATCCTTATCTTTATTCCTTAGTCAAAGGAAACTTGACAAACAGCTTTAATCCCTAACATTTGTTCAACCTCTTTTATATGCTTATCACATTTCTACAGATTTCTGTTAGTCACTTCACGCTTTAGTGTTATACAATTTTTATTTTTCGAAGTTTTGACTTGATTGTTCATTAGATGATTTCCCCAACTTACTTAATAACAGAGACTCAAAAATCACCATGATTGGACTAATGTTTAATATATAAGCAAAGTTATGCATATTCAAGTTAAAAGCTTGAGGAAATGTAACTGGAAATTATATTTTATCGCTTACATTTCTTGTCCAAATTATAAACAATAAGGGTATTTAAAACTTTAGGTGTAACTAATGAAAATTGATAATTCTATCTTTGGATTGAGTAGCTATGCATAACCTTATTGTTCAGTAAATGTACTTATCCCATGTTATCTTGAAGTCATCGTCAAAGAGAGGTTATTAACCAAGAAGTGGATAACGATTTGGCGTTTGAAGCGATTGGTCGCGAGTTCGAATCCCGGTGGGAACAACATCACCCACTGGAGTGGAGGTACACCCAACTGACGAGTCCCGAATAGGATGAAAGGTGCTTCCTTAATTCGACTGCTAGTCACCAAGATAAAAAAGTTAAATAATAAATGAGATGGGTGAAGCAGAACTAATGTATGTATGAATGACAGTTTACTATAATTAAAAGGCTCACAAAACTTAGCACTTTCAATCAGGTATTGAATAAATCTATATTTATGAAGTAATATAATGATAACAAGCAGCCGGTTGTTAACATTCTATCACTACCAGCTCCAACTAATAAACACCTGATACAATAGTTCAGATACTGGAGTAAAGAAATTCAATATACAAATTATATGCCACATAGAAGACTGAGATTTCAAGAAAACTGTTCCTGAAAATTGTTATTCAAGGGGATTTATATTAGGTTAATGAAATGAAATCAGTGATAAACGCGTAACACATTTAAGAGGAATTTGAGAAAATTTCATAACTGGTTAGTTGGTTGGAAGTAATCCACAGAAAACCCTACTTGGTCTGGGTTTCGTGCTTATTGACTCTCGTCAACAAGATGTGGCTGTAAATTGATGGAAACTGATGTCTGGTGTGATATTCGAACTCATCTCACCGAGTGCTACAATTGGAGAGTCCATACTTGAGCTATTTATTCCACCACTGACCTCCTGCAGAACTGGAGTACATATATTAACTGATCACTAGAGAGTAACCAGTTTAATGTTTTCTTATTTCAAGTACTAATCGAGTTCAATCGATCATTTTGTAGTGTGGTCACGAAGCTAGGCGGCTCAGCATCGTGGGGTTTATTGGTTGAAGGTAATCGGCAGGAAGTCCTAGATTTAAGTTTGATTAGGGAGAGAAATAATCTTACAAGGCTAATCATATTGATACACATAATTGTTCTTGTAGGGACATCCAAGTAGATTAAAATTTCCTGCCAAACAAACTTTAACTTTTGTTGCATATGTTGTTGATACTCATCCAAAGAAGAATGCAAAAGGTATATTGAATTTAGCACCAGCACATTCATTTTTCTCCCAGAGTATTAATCCCAACAAAGTTCAACTTTAACAACACACTGTAACGTAAATATCTAGTTTCCACACCTTCAGCTAATTAGGACCTTGGAAGTAGTCGTCGTTAAAATTTCCAATAAAAAGTCCCTTCTGCAAATCCTCCATTAGTTTTATTATTTTTTTCTATATTCAATTAGGCTAAAATTGATTGTATTAGCAGAAAGGTTGAAAGTGTAAACCTAAGTGTCACTGGTCACCTGGTTAACTAGTTCACTAGTTACTAGCCGGTCCTTAGCCCGGATAAAGAGGGAAGGCTGGGCATAGGGCTAGCAACCCTAATCCATAAGACCAATCCAACCGGTAAAGAAACTTCAAAGCACGGATAAAATGTAAAAAATAAAAGCAAACTTATTGCTTGCTGGCTGACTGTAATCAGAAACAGTAGGGGGAGAGGAAGACGGCTAAATCTGTAATAATAATAATGATAATAATAATAATAGAGCTATTGAAATATTAGTTATAATCAATTGTGAGATGAATGAAATGAAGAGTCTTGTTGTAATAAATAACCTATACAGATGGCCATGGCAAAGAAAGAGGCTGTACGAGTTTCATCTGAACACACAGACTTGATTTGTTTAGGTGGATTCCTGTGGCTTCTGCTGTATGTAAATGACGAACTCGCAGAAGCCATAGGAATCCACCTAAACAAATCAAGTCTGTGTTTTCAGATAAAATTCGTACAGCCTCTTTCTTTACCATGGCCATCTATATAGCTTATTTATTACAATAAGACCCTCCATTTCATGCATCTCACAATTGATTATAACTAATATTTCAATAGCTCTATTATTGTTATTAATATTACAGATTTAGCCATCTTCCTCTCCCCCTACTGTTTCTGATTACAGTCAATAATTTACCACTTTACGTAACAGTTTATTTTCGCTCTTTAGTTACCATCATACAAAATATCAATTATGTAAGAACCTAAAGGAGCCCATATACCAACAAAGACTGATCAGTTCGGTCCAATCAACGACGGTGTAATATAAGCAATAATACTAAAACTATCCCTGTCGCACAAGAAGTGGCTATCGTGGCTCGGTGGTGTAGTGGATAACGCTCTGGCATTTGAAGCGATCGCTCCCGGGTCCAGGTGGGAACATCACTTACTGGGTGGCAGGTACATCCAGCTGACGAGTCCCGAATAGGACGAAATGCGCATCCTGGATCCCACTGCTGGCCACTGCCCATCATTACTATATGTAAGGACCTGTTTAAAAGTTCACAAAATCTTCCTACTATAATTAATCTATGCTTTAGTTGATTGTCTTAATTACCTGATAAGTATCACCTTCTTGATACTTTGAGATTGATAACCTTTCATTAAACAACTCTCACCACTAGATTGCTATGTCATTTAACGTCTTGAAATGCTACATGTATTAGTGTGGAGCCATTTATGAGGAACTAATTAATTGAAAGGAAATATTTCTTCACTCACAGTTTGTTTTACTAAATGTCTAAATGGGAATTTTTTGCATAAAGTAACTAGTTTAACTCACTTTTAGTTATCATACAGACATTATTTATTGAACCTACTCTTTACTCCCCTCCGACTCTTTCTCTGACAGAAGCAATATAGCTACTTGCTATTTATGTCACCATCGTTCTAGTAGCTATTGAACCCGTGATCCTTAACAGGCAGAGTTAACAGCTTTATTCTAGGTTAAACATACCTGCGTCCAAAAGAATGACGTTAACAAATTACCAACTTTTCAGGTTGATAAATTGTTCTCTCTGCCTAAGATAGTATCACTTCTGGTAACTCACTGGCAACAAGAACATTAGCTTAGGACATATACAGCAGTGCGAAACCCTGTTTCGTTCATGGGTTAGTAAGGTCTCACCACGTCTATCAGATTACTATGATTCACTATCTCAGACTTATGAGACAAACCACATGCCCTTGAGTAACGATCAACTGGGATAACTCGATCTTTTTTTTTCATAATAGCATTTATTCTTTAGTACAACTTTTACTTTTCTAAGTTTTGACTGCCAAAAACTGCATTTTGCAGAGCTTTTCCTGCACAGAACTAGATAGATGTTTTTCTCACATTAAAATAGTATAATGCGTCTGTTAAAGAACATGCTCAAGCCTTTAAATTCAGTAGTCATATTAGTAAGGAAAGCAGTGTACCATATCATCTGCCATCAAACGCGATGTTCAAATCTATCTAGTAAAGGAAATTGACGAATGATACAGCGCTTCATCGTGCGATAAGTAGAGTAACAGTCTTTGTTGAATTACTTCTACACAGTTATTGTATCACTTCACTAGAAAGATTTCAGGACTAAAGTGGTCGAATGTAATTTACACTCATGCGATAAGCTTACATCATGAGTGATCAGATGTTTGTTCATGTCAAATTCCTCCCGAAATACTATGAATAGCTGTTCGTTATTCCTTCCTTGGCAAAGAATCCTTATCGATGGTGTTTTCATGAAGTATGAAACTGAACGAAGTATATTTCATTCGAGTAACAGACTATTAGTTGGAAGTTATCGTTTAGGCTTACAGTCAGATATCACAAATGTGGAATAAATGGCAATACAAATAAAATTCACAACATATTCGCTGCACCAAGCATCAGGATAAGAGACAAGCAAAGAAAACAGCACTAATAGGCATTATTTTATAAGTAGGAGATTTAAGTAACAACCCAAATATCTATTGAAATGACAAGATGTAAGTGCAAAATCACTCAGCTAACCATCTACAGATTATGTGAAACTCGACTACTCCATTCTTTACTAACCTGCACTAAATCTTCTGAACCCAATTTCATGTTGTCTAGTTATTTGGTTCTGACGAAGTTTACTGAAAGCTTATCACTTATTTGTTTACTTGCTTTACACAAAAACTCGGTATAACTTGGTCACCGAGAAATGCATGGACAACACTATGAAGCTGAAAATTGATCATACAGTCGGCTGCATAAGATACATTCAAAAAAAAGCTTTCATTACGCTTACGATACTTTTCAAAACGAGACCATAATATAACTTCTAATAGCTTGAATTCTGATACATATCTGATAATGTTTTGGACCGCTGAATCGCATCATATCTCACACTTCAAACAGTAACTCTTGATGTACCAATAGATGCTAATTCAACACAACTATACTTTATCTCATCGTGCCACATCGTACACTGACCGCTTTTACTTTTTCCAACAAGTTTCACGGTTAGTAGACGCTGTGAAAATAATTGGGATAACCAATCAAAGACTGTTTCAAGATGAACTCTCTCAATGGGTGAGCCAACACACTTCAAAACTGCTTAAGTCTTATTTCCACCAGATGAAGATAATCCTTAAGCGATAGCAGTCATTGAAGAGTCGTCTGACTTTGTCATTTCAAAGGAGCTAGGTTTCTTAGGCGTAAAGCAGAACTATGCTTGTTGAAACTCCATACACGTGACCACTTACAGTAGGGTTAACGTTGTGATTGTCCTAAAGATCATCTAGATTGGAATATGTCACCGTGGCTTTCAATATACGGGTGAAAATCTCATACATCATACAACTACCCAAAGACACGAACCTTTCAACTTCTTCCAAAAGTTCACGACTAAGGATGAACGCCTGCAAATCCTCTAGAAGTACTTTAGTCTGTCAGTGCAAGGTACACACTATACTTATGGGCTCGGATTAAGCGCCTTGAACGGTATCGCACAGTAAGACATCATCTGTCTACGATTTAAGATAAAATTCTTCTCTTCGCAGTTAATGTATACCATCATTATGCACTTCCTTTAGAGTGGTCTTCAAGTAGAATGACGAGACTGAGCAACCTGGTAAAATGGAGAGAGATGGTTGTCTGTTTTAAATCTACTTGAAGTGTTTTGTATATAGTGGTCAAACTAGGCGGGTAAAAAGACTCAATAAAACACAGGTATACGGATACTCTACACACGGTGGATCTGTAGCTCAGTAGTTTAGGGAGATGACTATCAATCAGTGGGTCACGGGTTCGAATTATGCTCCACTTACAGAGAATTGGGCAGCCAGGTAGTATGAACAACCTTCACATAATAAATGTGGCTCATTGCCCATCTACTGCAGGAATATGAACAAGGTGACTGAGCGCGTTCCATTCCGTTCCTGGATCTGAGTACAGCATAACTAAGATCCCAGCAATCATCTTATTATCCTTAAGAAATGAAAAGCATAGTATGATACTGAAAATATTTATTCTGTACTGATTTGACCAACGTTGTATAAGATGAATTTCAGCTTAAACAAAAGCGAGAAGATTGTAGTCAGAATTACATGATACACGGGTGTATTAGAGAATTAATCAGTCAACAGCTCACCTAATAGTGGAGTGGATTCAAACTTTATGCTTAGATATCTATTACTCACCCCTTAAAAATGACTTAACTGTAATACATTTAATCACTAATTGATGTACCTTACTCATTTCCTGTAATCTGGACAGAACTGGTCTACACTCCCCTTTATAATATTACAGTTTGTTGTTTTAATGCATCAGACTGAAAAATGACACTGTCGGTAAAGGATTGATCTACGCGGGAATTTTTTTTCTGGTTAACTTCAGTGAAACAATTAAAATCAAGTATTATCAACATTGAAATTAAATATAACTCAGCAAGTGTATATCATTCCCTATACAAGACAATATGTCACCTCTGTTAGCTAAGAAGTAACGATACTACCTAGTTGTCTAAATCTCAGTCGATGAAACGAAGTGCCAACACGTGATTCACTAACTTAACGTTGATTTTCATCATGGATTGACATCATAAAGAGGAACAGTAGAAACCTAGGAGCACTGGACAGCCGCTTCGTCTTAGTATGGCACTTTTCAGCAGTATGCACACACGACCCCGCGGCCATGGAGCCACTGGGTAGGAATCCAATGGTCAATATTTCCAACTTCTGTCCGTTCACAACCGCGACCATCACCCAATATCGTGGATGCGCACTGTTGAAGAGTCCCGTACTTGGACGAAGTAGCTGTCCATGATGAAAACTAACTTAAAATATCTATAAATCCCCACATACCTCCAGATTCAACCCAACGTTGATTACCTACACCACCAATGAACCACTTTTTGACTATTATAGGCGCAGTAGGTGACAGGAATTAGAATCGACCATAGCAAAGCTTACATGTTCATTCATTATGCTCCTCGAAGTAGAGGCTAACTCTCTATTCCGCATCTTTAGACCCGACCATGGGTGTGTAGACCGAATATTCACACTGCACCAGGTCCTGGAACATAGGCACGCTTACAGACACCCGACAATAGCTGTATTTCTCGACCTGAAAGCGGCATTCGACTCCGTTGATCGAGGAATCTTATGGCAATGTCTCTCACTGAAAGGCGTGACGAGTAAGTGCATCACCTTATTGAAGGTTCTCCACTCGGAAACTTGTGGCGTGTTAAAGCATATGGTGAGATGTCCAGGGAGCTATGTTCATCGAGTGGTGTCCGTCAAGAGTGCCCACTGTCTCCAGTCTTATTCAATTTTATCATAGATATTCGGATGGAGGTTTCTCCCTCGTCACCTGATTACACATGGTTTGACCTAATCACAGGAGAATTTTCGTTAGACCTAGAATATGCAGATGACATAGTCTTGTTAGGCGAAGACGCTGACTGATGAGATGCGGAGTTTTCTGAACACTTTAAGTGACAATCTGAGAATGTTTGGGATGCGTTTCTCACCACCCAAATGCAAACTGTCACCCCAGGATTGGTCTTCAACGGTGCCCCACCGCGGCTAACAGTAGAGAGTGTAGTGGGTGAGTGGTTGTACCGCTAGCCACTGTGCATTATAACTAGGATTTGATCTCAAGTGTGGACCACTTTATCTGGGAAGTGAGATCAGTACTGGTGGCTCAGTGGTCGATGAAATCTCTGCACGAATACAAAAGGCTCGGATGGCTTTGGCCAATTTACGCCACCTATGGATCCGCCGTGATATCTGGTCGTCTATTAAGGGTCGCGTGTACTGCACCTGCACAGCAGTCCACTCTGTTCCACTGTACCGCTGTGAAACATGGCCATTGAAGGTAGAAGACATGAGAAGGTGTTTGACCACCGTTGCCTTCGTAGTATAGGACGTATTCCGCGGTATCACCACGTGAGTAACACAGAAGTCAGGTATGGAGTTTCAGGGAGAAGAGGTAAGTCAACTGATATGATTGTGAACCTTCATCGACTGAGATGGCCGGGACACCTGTTACGTATGCCTAATCGCCGATTGCCTCGTCATACCATGTTGGCCGACGTAGGTTCTGGCTGGTAAAAGGCCTGAGATGGCAGAATAAAACATGGCACCCACGTATGAAGTCTCTGACTGTTGGTTTGAGTCATGTGGGGCAATGCAGGCTAGGTGGTTGGGGTCTGCGGGACAAGAGAAACAAGCGGTTGCAGACTCTAGGTGATCGCATGCTGAGATCCGATGTGAGTGGCGCAGATGTATACATACATTATCCTCATCTTAACGAGGCTACACCGAATCTCACAATCTTCTCATTCTTCCTTTCTCTCTTTTCGTACATAGTATTTCTTTTGAGTGAATTTTCTATTTATCTTCCACTTCACTGCCTTTTTACTTGATGTACTGATATGAGTTGTGGCAACTCGAGCCGTTACGCAGTAATGCCTGGTCCTACTTTGATATTGATGATGACTAATTTTGACTTTTATTATTCGCCTATCGAATTTCTTTTGTTTTGATGTTGTAGATCGTGATAAGTGGAACTAGTATACAATAATGTCAAGCTGTACATTGTTATTCACTTGTCTAATGTTATGAATAAAATAAAAATACGCATTTCCTTATTTCTATACATTTTTATTATTGTATTATTATGATTATATTACAGGCGGCGGCACAGATAAGGATGTCAAAAGCAGGATTGGAAAAGCAAGACAGGCGTTCATTAACCTAAAACCAGTGTGGAGATCTACTGCACTCCATTCAGCATAAAGCGTGAACAACACCAATTCAGTCAAGTCAGTGGTGCTATATGGTTCAGAGACTTGGCGCGTTAGAAAAGGCATTTCCAACAAACTGCAGATATTCATCAACAGCTGCCACCTACGCTCACTCGATACTGACACTGAAGATCAGATGAGATATCACGCGTCAGACCGTCGAGTGGAATCCAGATGGGTAACGATGAATTGGGCGTTCGAGTCGAAGGTGACATGGATGAGATGATGTGAGGAAGAAATGAGCGCTTGTGGGTAGTGGTGGAACCAGGTTGAAAAGACTTCAGAGAACAGAGTGCAATGAAGGAGTGCTAGTGAAACCTTAGAAAACTTTATCAATATGAAACAATAAATACTGATGATCAGTAAACAATAAAACAAAAGAAATAAAGACAAGAATTACACCAATATCTTTATATCAATTATTCAGTCGATATTTCATAAGAACATAAAACAGTCGACTGTGAACCAATCATAAAGCAGAATTTTTTATGATTATCACTAGATTTATGTAAAAAGTCTGCAGATTGTAAGTTGAAATTTGTATTATCCACTTGTTGATTATTTATATTATTCCCTAGGCAAGAGATATTCCAAATCGGTTTATTTGGATTAGAATAAAAAATAGCTGGACAGTCTTGATTATCATATTCACCAAGAAGTAGAAATTCTTTGAATTTATCATCTTGAATTATTACACTGAAAAAGTTATGACCTTTTAATGAATTATAATCAATAAATTTAGAATTCCATAATTTAGTTGTATCATTTAATTGTTTTTGTTCTTTTTCTGATAAATTTAATTCTTTATTCGATTGTAGTAACATTGATGGATGTATTGGCCAAACTTTAACATTTGATCTCATTATAGTTGTACAATAGACACCAATAAGACAGTCAGTTGAATTATTAGACGATAACAACCAACCACAAGAACTAGTCACTGATTCTGAATTAAACATCTAATTATTTAGTATATATATAATAAAAGGGAATAAGATAGAAATTGAATTTCTTAATTTATTTATAGGTTATAGAGATAATAATGAAAACAATATGAAATGAGACCTTAAGATGCTTCAATATTGATCACTATCTAACCTTTTAATGAGTTCTCTATTGATATGATCAACAAAATTACACCTATGCAAATCACTTGCCTAGGAATAACACTTGTTTTCTGAAAATTTTAATTATATAAGAAATGCCAGTTATAGTCAGAGTAATAAAAGAGTGAGTTAGGGCTTATCATTCGACATTTTTATGCCGTTTGTGATATATTTAATTACCAAAGACTAACAATGTAGAAAGCTTGATTGAATCATTAATTTTTAGTGTCGTTTTCTGTTTGAACAAACAAACAAACATCAGTCAATGAGATTGTCAACTATCAGTGAGTGAGATAGCTTGGTTATGTATAGAGCATGCCAACTCACCACTACCTGGCTAGAAGAAGTTGAATCAGTTTGAAATAAGGTTTAAGAGTTGCCAAAACGTGGCATCAGTCTGATTGTTAGTCTGAGCCATGTAGAAAGGTGTAGACTACCCTGTTTAGAGTCTATGAGACGAGAGGAATCAATGGTTGAGGATTTTTGGTGAAATGGTTGAAAATTGATCATAATGACGCAGATATATCGTTTCTCTACTTTGATATCAGTCTTTTCTATATCTACATCTTTTTTCTGTATGCTACTTTGAAGTGGGGGTAACTTGAAGCGATTTCATCTGTTTGAACCTCATACAATGAGAGAATAGTGTTATACACATAATCTAAGGTATATTTGTATGATTAAGATTTTCAAGTCATATAACGTTTGTGAATATGTCTTAAACTTGTTGACAACTTATGTTATATTCTAATCAGGTTGACAGAAAATATAACAAAACTCCCCTGAAGAGAATTCTATAACAAACAAAGAACACATTGATTTGATTGGATGTACTGAATTCAATGGTGATATCTGCATTGTTCACGATTAACCAAATCTCTGTTTACATTTTTCCTAATTTGTTTTATATTTTGAAATTAATAACTTGCTACGATCGACTACACTAAATGCCTATCAATTTTTCCACTTATGAAACCACACAAAAAAAATGCACTACACAGTTGTCACCTCCAAATTTTTTATTATTATGTCTTTTGGGTTTCTAGTGGAATATAGAACTTCAGAAGTACATCACCATTTCACTCTACTCTCTGCAATCTTTTCAACTTGGCTTCATGACTGCCCACAACCTCTCATTTCTTCCTCACACGATCTCCTCCACGGCACCCTGGCCTCAAACACCCAACTCATCGTTTCCCATCTGGATTCCACTCGACGGCCTGGCCTGAGAAGTGATATCCCCAAGCGGTCTTCTCAGTGTACGTCCAATCCAATCCATCTCTACTTTCTTCTGCATATTTGTTGGGTGATAGGTTATTGGTTGGTTCGTTGCCAGCCAGCCACAGTTCCTTATTGTTTATTCTTTCTGTCCATCTAATCTTCAGCATCGAGCGTAGGCAGCTGTTGGTGTGATGTATGTCTGTAGTTTGTTGGAAATGCTTTTCATAACGCCCCAAGTCTCTGAACCATCACAAAAAAACACTGACTTGACGTTATTGTTGAAAATCCGGATCTTGTTCTTTATGCTGAATGCGGTGAAGGGCAGTAGATTTCCACATTGATTATTTCAGATTAATCAAGGCTTGTCTTTCTCTTTTCGATCCTGACTTTGACATCCTCATCTGTGCCCGTGCCGCCTGTAGCTGAGGTAATCCTGCCTAGGTAGGTAGGTAAAAGAGACAACCTTGTTGACATTTCTCCCGTTCATGGTGATTGGTGCTTGTTGTTGGTTGGGTATCTTTACCACCTCTGTCTTCCCTACGTTCACCTGAATGGAGTCCCGTCTTCCTTCGCTGCCCTGCCTCTTCTGCCAACTTGTTAGTTTTCGCCTGTAGGTTTTCGAGTTTACGCGACATTAGACATAAATCGTCATCGGCGAAATCCAAATCTCCTAGTGTCTTTTCATCGGTCAAACAGCGTATGCCCATCTTCTCGTCAATCTGATTTTTAGTGTGTCTATCTGATGAAATCCATGTCACTTTGTGAATATCCTTGTGTTTGTATACACTGCCTCCTATCTGTTGCTTAAATTTTATTATAATTTGGCCAATGAAAAATAAAAACCGGTGGTATAAACCAAGATGGACATATACTCAATGATGGCATTGGATAAACGTCGTACTACATCAGGAATTGACAAAAGTAGGAAATGTAAACGATTCGATTACAACCGAGTGGCCCAATGACAGCGTGCTGGCCACAGAACCTGAAGGCCCTGGGTTTGTTCCCTGACGGGGTCATGGACGCTCACTGCCGAGGAGTCCCTTGCTAGGACGAAACAACTATCCAGATCTATAACAGTTCTCCAACTGATGCTCGTCCGTGGTGAGTATCAACTTGAAACCAATAAATCTCCACAAACCTTCAAATTTATAAATAAATCATTGCTAAAGCATATACCGCATAAAAGAATCGGTGAATATCACTTGTTGTAAGCATTTCCTTTGGCTTCGAGAACGAATAAGAATGCCCCGAGCATATCGACGTGGGACTTCACCGACAGCCCCCGGAAAAAGAAGAGGAATACATCGAGAAATACCACTTCTTATTGTTGAATACCAGTTGGATATCCCCTGACTTGAATACAAACAAAATTACTTCCACTAGTCGTGAGTATATTATTCCAACCCACAAATTTAGTTAATATGATCTATCTATAATCTGACCTACTGAGGTAAAAATTCCATAGTTTTACAATTTAGTTTATACTCTTAGGTGGTTTGAGAAGTTATACTGGCTAATTTGCTTGATCACTAAATGAATTACACACTCCGTTGATCAACTAGATATCTATTCCCCTTTTTATGTAAATTTACAAGTATATATAAAGTGTATTTCTTTTTTGATAAAGCGATTATTCTTCCTTAACCCTAATCTTCTGGTCTCCTTACGGCTTACAGGTGAATAATGGGACATGGCAGTCATATATTACCTATCATCCAGTTTACACACAGTATGTATGCTTCATCACTGAGTTCGTCAACATACATACAGTAGCATATTAATTGAGTTAAACAATATATTCTATCACCCATGATCTTCTTGATTGTGGTCGACTGGATCATGCAGAAAACAGTGAGGAGCGAGAAGAGGGGGTTACGCTGGCTAGACCAGAGGAAAGATACTAGAAGATTTGGATTTCACTGATCACTTGTGTCTAATGTCACACAAACTTGAAGATCTACAGGCGAAAACTAACAAGTTGACAAAAGAGGCAGGGCACCGAAGACAGGACTTCCAGAGAATATACAGAAGACAGAGATGATGAAGATACACAACCGACAACAACAACAACAAGCCCCAATCACCATCAACGGGAGAAACTTAAAGGGAGTAGTCTCTCTCACCTATCTAGGCACGCGGCACCGTTTCAACTACAGGCGGCACAGACGAGGACGTCAAAGCCAGCCAGGATCGGAAAAGCATGACAGGTGTTCATTAGCCTGGAACCAGTGTGGAGATCTTCTGCACTCAGTATGTGGAATAAGATCAGGATTTTCAACACCAACGTCAAATCAGTGTTCCTGTATGGTTCAGAGACTTGGCGCGTTACGAAAGGGATTTCCAACAAACTACAGACATTCATCAACAACTGCCACCTACACTGGCTCGTTACTGAAGATCAGATGGCCAGAATAATAGGAATAAGCAACAAGGAACTCTGGAACGAACCAACCAAGAACCTATCGCTCAACAAATATGCAGAAGGAAATGCAGATGGATTGGGCATACACTGAGAAGGCCAACTGGGGACATCACAGGTCAGGCCAGTCACTCGAGTGGAACCCAGATGGGAAGCGAGGAGTTGGGCTTCCGAGGGTGACATGGAGGAGATCGTGAGAGGAGGAAATGAAAGCTTGTGGGCTGTCGTGGAGCCAGTTCAAAAGTTTGCAGAAAACAGAGTGCAATGGAGGCGTGCTACTGAAGTCCTATGTTCCACTAGGAACCCAAGGGACAAATGATAATAATTATTATCTCTTCATTAGTTTTTTAATAATTTTCAAGGAAAAAGTAATTAAGAAACTGATCATAAAGATTACTGGATGCTGAAGTATTACTGGCAACTGTAGTTTAGTAACCGAACATTTTCCAGCCCCTTCAGTATCCCTGACTGCAACGAGCCAAACACCCCAGTGGCAGGTAGTTGAAAGGTAAGCAGAAAATTCATCGTTATAGTATAAATGATCCACGAAATGAAGGCCATCATAGGTTATTGAGATCATTTTCCAAAGAATAGAGTTACATCAAATCTCTTAACAATAATTAAACATGTAAAACTTATCTAGATAGGCAGATTTTTGTGCATAGGACTGTAGATCATAAATGAAATATACTACTGGACAAATTGAGCAGTTAGGAACTATTCGGACTGATCTTTAGAATGATCTAAACATCGGATGGCCATTTCGCTCGTTTGGGGACGAGCTCATCAGCGGTATACCCGGACAAATTCAGATCATCTGAATCTCGTTAATTAACTTGCATGGACCGGTAAACCTTGAATAGGATGATCATTCGCAAATGATTTAAACAATGTAAGGCTCACGTTGACACCTTTCACAGCTGAGTAGTTTTATCCAACTTTGGTTGTGTCAATGGGGTTTCCGATTGCTCAAGTAGTCCAGTAGAATGTTTCTTGAATTTATGACACTTATATGTCAGAGACCACACCATGTAATCTTGACTGGATGAAGGTTACCAACGGAAAACTTATTGATACCACAGTTGGGTAGTTGGATAAACTACTCAGCTGTGAGAATCGTCAACGTGGACCTTACAATTCAGAAATCCTTTGCAAATCGATCATCCTAAAACACTTTTTTGTTCTAAAAACTTAAACAAAAGTAGGTCAAGCAAGATTCGAATCCGTAGTACATTATTTAGGAACTAATTAACCTACACAACTTGTACATCAAATAAAGATACATGATTAAAATGTTCATGAAAGAAAAAGTTAATACTTGCGGATTAACAAAGACTGATCTGATCACAAATAACTCATCCAATAGGATACGTAGATGACATGATCAGTATATCAACTTAACAGAAATTATAAAGCTACTCCGTAGATAAAAATTCAATTACACCGATTGTTCTAGAGAACATCTCATTGACAATGAAAGCCTACTGTAAGTATTGCTCTAAACATCTTCATAAGAACGAGACGCATAGGATTGGTTTTTCTACAAACCACCAGAAATTTGACTTTAAACAACGTCAGATTAATTGGTCACCGAATAGTTGAAACCTATCGACTAAGTGTGCACTGTGACGATTTAGTTGAATGACAAGAGATTGTCGTTCCCTCTGTTCAGTATTCAATGTTTCGAATTAAGTGAGAAGTTTTAAATATACCTTCGGTGACTTTACGGACTACTCATCAGCAGAGTATCTGTAACGTTGAAGAAACTCATGTTCCTTAAGACATTCGAACTATTGTCATTCAGTGCCAAAGTCATAAACTATACCTCAGTTTTGATCATGACTACGGATTACAAGGTGGCATTGGTTACCATTTTATCACCGGCCTATCTTCATAATTCATTCCTAAAGAGAACCAGTTTTAACATGAATAGCTGTGTCGTAGTCTTCAAATTTGGAAACGACAGATGAATACTTCTTTCAAAGTTTGTAGATATTCCTTTCTGATGAGTGCTAACAACTGTGAAAGCCGAATCAGACCAACTATAGATCCCTGCTGACTGACTGTAAGCATATCAAAGAAACTTTAGTGTAAATGTTATGATCACATGAAAAGTATAATAAACTTGAACTTACATATAAAAGAGGATTTTCATCGGATGCTGACGCGGCTTTCATGTCGAACAAACACACTAAGCCATCTTCAGAACAATCCATTAGACGCAGATAACCCGGTACTGATGTGGGATCAAATTTCACATCAACAATATCATCTGAATGAAAGTCTTTAATACTACCCAACGGAGATGATAAATTGCGGGTATCCCAATAAACTAAATGAGCTGTATCTTCATCCATTTCACTACTATCAATAGAGTCATGACGTTTTCGACGCTTTTTTTTGTGGGATTTTTTTACTCTGCATACTTCTGTACCACAACAAACTAGACTACCATCTGGACTGATAGAACAACAGGTGAATGGCGCGTTAATCAACTGTTTATGTGTCTGCACTGAGGGCTATTTCGATGATAAAAAGTGGGAAAAAGAGAGTAAAAGATTGACTAGTCACTGTAGATGAGATAAAATCCTCACATATACAAATTTAAAAAGACATACTTAAAACTAAGATAATTATAACCTTACAATTTGATCAATACGAATGAAAATCAGGAGTGCTTTCAAAAGCTAAGCTGAGATACAACCAACAAGTAAGCAACTTCTTTTGAATAGCGTCAGTGGTAGTCAGGGGTGAAATTGAACGTTTTGTGAGAGATTCCAACAGAATTTAGTAAAAAACACAGAGTATGTATTATAGGATGGGTATTAAAGGTATGATTACATGCAAAGTAATAAATTCAAGGACTTCATGCTGATTACCTCCAACCAACTGATATCTACTAATGTGCACTGAGATGCTGAGCTTCCTAGCCTGGTGGCCACATTGCAAATATGATCCATAGGATTCGATCTGAACTCAGAACTAGACAGCATGAAATTAGTTAAATTTCATCTCAGTTGCTGAAGGTTGACAGTCTCATCAATCGACTTGCCTATCTTAGTTTTCAAATTAGACAATAATGTACTATGTTCGCCTTTTTAGATTAGTAAACATTGAGACTAATTTGGTCAACTAGACCTTTCAACAATAGTTTATAGAGGTTGAATTTAGCTTACACCTACTAAACTTTCGTCAGCAGGGTAATATAATGGATTGTTACTCATTACGTAGTATACCTACCTGCATTTGGTTGTTACTTGGTTCCGTTAAGAACTATTAGTATTTCGAATGAATAAAGTAGTATGGGTCATATGTTTAACTGGCTAAGAACATGTTTATATATATATATATATATATATATATATATATATATATATATATATATATATATATAGTACTCAAAATTGATAACAAGAGGACCGTTGGTATGAATCTTGCCGTAATCCCTGTTTCCTTTTAACAATATTATCAGGTTACATTAAGATTAGTCTGACAAGTTAAGTTTAACTCAGATAGTTTCATAAGTCGTAGAAGAAGCAAAATATAACCAATCACCCACTTACTTGCTGTTTACCGTCTCTTAAATCCCATATATGTATATCCCCTTTATCAGAACAGCTTAGTAAAGAATTTATCCCCGGTGAATAGTCGATATCGACAAGATTTGTTTCAACAGATAACTTTTTACAGTTATCTTTATTATTATCGACTTGCATAGATGTTAAATGAATTGAGTGTAGTTGAAACCCTCTAACTTGATATACCATATCATGATCATTATGTGCAACGAGAATATTCTCACAGTACTTTTGTGGTAGGTGATTCACGATATTTAACATATTGAATTCCTAAAACATGGAAAAAAAACAGTGGAATTTTTAATCAGAATTAAAACTCTTACAAATAGAAATATACACGACGTATATACCTCAGTTGCTCAAGTCAATCAAAAGAAGCTGTAACTCATTTACTGATGTACTCAAACCTAAAACGGTGGGTTTCAGACACACGTTTCTATCTACATTTCAACTTTAGAGTAACTAGGTAGTATTATATCCCTCATGATGTCTGATGCCCATTATTAAGTTATTGCTTGAGGTTTAGACACATGATCATTCAAATAGTTGGGATCAAATACTTCATCGCTAACAGTGTCTACACATCATCATTATCAACACAGGACCAGGCATTACTGCGTAACGGTCCGAGTTGCCACAGCTCAGTACAGCACACCAAGCAGAAAGGTAGTGAGGTGAAGGATGAAGGTAAGACAATGCAGTCAAAAGAAATATTAAGCACGAGAAGAAAGAAAGGAAGAATGACAAGATGGGGAGATTCGATATAGCCTCGTTAAGATGAGGATAATGTGTGTATACATCTGCGCCACTAACATCGGTTCTGAGCCATATTCCCTATAGTCACACATTCATCGTTCAAGCCGCTGAGATGTAGTAAAAGGAGAAATTCAAAACTATTTTTCGTTTCTTTTTAAACACACACTTGGCACAATTTGAGGATTAAGAAATACACTGCAAAAGAAAGTAATACAACCACCCCATGAGGTCCAGGTTTATGTACTATATGAGCTACACTTATTATGTGAAAGATTAATATACTATTCAACTGTCTAGGATAAAGAAGGTGGTGTACGTTTCAAACCTAAGATCTCTTGCTTGAAAGTTTAGTGCTCAAGCAAATGATTCATACCTATAATACATCCAAGACAAAGCTAGTACACTATTCACACTAACTTAATAGGATACGGAGCTAATAACTGTTACATATTCATTTACAAATCATTGGCTGTTCTCACTTATCAACTCAACAAATTCTGTTGCGTTGCATGAGTAAATGTAAGTTTCCGAAACAATAGAATTTTTGTATGATATGAATTAGAATAAGTTCTATTTAGATATAGACATTAAATATCTATATGACTCCAAAAATTGAATATCACCTTGGTTTTAGCACTTGCCCCGTCTCCTAAGGTGCGTTTGCTTATTTTTTTTTGAACCATATTTATATTTGTTAGTACTGACGGTTTCAAACGATGTGGACCCTAGACAGATAGCCTGCATCGCCCAACACGGATCAAAACAACAATTAAGGATTTCATCGTCTAGCGCAACATCTTCCTCTTCCATCCTAATTTAGCTTCCTCTAACATCATACATCGAGGTAAGCAGTGACTCCAGATGCGCAACACATGTCCAAGCCACCTCAGTCGATAAAGGTTTACAGCTTCATCAATCGATTTGCCTGGTACCCTTCACCTGATTTTAACATTGCTGTTCATATAGTGATTGCACCAAACGCGACCAATGCTACGAAGACACCTATGATCAAAACCCTGTACCATCTCATGTCTTCTACTTTAACAGCCGTGTTTCACGATCATACAATAGGACAGGGAGAACTGCAGCACACTACACTCTTCTTTTGATAGGTAAATGGATATTTCACCAGTCAGTGCCACAGATGAGGCAAGTTAGCAAATGCCAAACGTTCTAGGTGCTTCGTGAAGCGAGTCATTTCTCAGTTTAACTTCAAGAACATGATTACTTTAGCTTGATTGTGAGGGTCTTGTGATCAAGATCCACGAGAAATCAAAACCAACGTTTGGATATTTTATATGATAATGCTCAGATCTTACAACAGTGACGAATGTGCATTCATGCTAAATTTTTATCTAAATCGCAACAATTTTCTAAATATTTTTTCAATACTTTTGTTTCCCACTTTGTTTATGACTGTTAATACTATTATTTCCCTTTGCTGTTTAGTTTATCGTCTACAGTGTGGAAACTGTAACCGATATTCAGTTACCTAAGGACCCATTTTATTGGTATTTAATCTATAAACTGCTTGTTAACTAGGAATACCCCCTGGGAATAACACTGAGTTATCAAAAGCCTTCAGGAACAGTGAAATGATGCAACTACTTGTTACCATTGTTTCAACTCAGTTATGTAGAAAGAGACTAATGGTCTACATTACCATCAATCATATTTCCGAAGTTGCTCTAAAAGAAACATGTTTTGGCATGGATCTAATATGTGAAACTGCTTAATCTTTATTGAATACTTCTGAAATCTAAGTCATTTGGTTGGAAGTCTACAGGTACAATCAGTGATATGTTCCATCAAAATGCAAAACACATTGTTAAGATTGCCAAGAACTCACGTTTCAAGTTTCTGAAATGACCAGAAAGTATGTTTGTTGAACAAATTATCTACGGTGAAATGTCTAGTTCTACTGTATACTACTGAAATCCCATCATTATGAGTGAAAGTTGATGGTAGTTCAAAATAAGTCTAACAATCTTCAGGTAGAATGTTTCAAATACCCTAGATTACATGACGCTAATGAAAACGAAGCAGTAATGGCAACTCTGAAGTATCCATCTAGCTAACCCTGAAGCATTATAAACCCTGATTGGTGGATGCACGGTTCTCCAAGTCATTTGAAGTTGTAGAACAAATTGTAAAGAGAAAATGGAAGGGTTTCAAAGCACGAATTCCCGACGTGTTGATTTCAGAAATATACTACATATCAATCGTTTTCGTTACAAGAACACATAGGTCTTGCATTTTCTGTGCAATTAAAAGATTGACATTCATTCTGTTTAGCCTATCCTACACAATTACAAACATTTATTCATGAGACAGTTTGAATAGATAAGACCATTTTAGTAGCTTTTTTGCTTGCTAAGCCCAGGTCGTTCTGCAGAGAGCTTTCGATGTCAGTCTAAATATCATCTTCGGTGCCTCTTTCAGAGGATGACTTGCTGCTTAACAGATCATTTTAATTTTTTGGATTGGTAATTAACCAATTTATTTCAGAATAGATACCGTAATGCTAAGATGTGTCTATTTAGGGAACTAAGTGTATGAAAAAAGTGGATAAATGGCCACCAGATATCTTAAAACCAAACCGAATAAGTTACTCTTTTGGTTCACCGTCCCAGGTTTCGGACTACCAGCTATTTAGCAATGGGGTTATGACCCCACATCCCAACTATCTCAACCGGAGCAACTAGTACTAATGTACTAAACAACTAAGTAAGCTTGGATCAGGTTGCTGATTTTCACTATTATACTTTATTTTAACGTATCCTTCTAAACTTGAGTAAAACACCTACGTATTGATTTTGTGGTCTAGCTCTGATTTTCAGTTGACCAGATATCCAGTGAAGAGGCTTTTAGTGAAATTAGTCTTGAGTTAGTCAAATATCACTAAGTTACTTAATATAGGTGGACAGCAATCGAGATCGGAATGCAACCCAGAAACTGCATGTACGTTTGTACAACTGCCGATGACCCACATCCATTGTATGAGGGCGTATTGAAATACATGGATATCCAGAACTCGGTAGGTGAGGCATTGTTTAAACCTATGGTCTACTACTTGAGAGCTACATCCAAAATGAAAAATTACAGCCCAATATATATATATATATATATATATATATATATATATATATATATGATGACACCCAAACAACCGAAAATCAGAAGTAGAGCGAACAGTTTTCTTGCAAGAGAAAAGGGATATGATTCAAAAGTGAACCAACTCAAAAATTTCTTGTAACACTATTTTGCTACTATTGCTATGGAGCGAAACCAAAGAATGAAAGGTTAACGGGGAGCCAGCTATACAGCTAAGAACAAAGGGGGAAAATGAAGATTTTGAACACAGAGCTTTGTGCTTCTCAGTAACTTTTCTTTGTAGACTGAAAAATTCTGAAAACTGGCTGAAAGGTTTTCGTGTAACCACCAACTGACATAACGACAATATTTGGTGGAACCCCGGATATGAAACGAAAGGCAGTAGGGGACAGTCTGCACATAACTGTGTTTTCAAAAACATCTGGTGTTGGTAATTGGAAGTTGAAGTGAGGATATGACAATCTACAATGTGGATGTGCAGCTAAGTAAAGATGACTTATCACTGTATCGTAAATATAGCCTGCAAATATAGTCGATACTGTTTTGCACTATACATCTTAGAAATACCGTGTTTATGTTTGGGGTCTATGCGGATGGGAGTAAGCCACTCGAGATGGCTGGTTACTTTTCTGAAGTCGTCAGTGGAATCAGTTTACTTATGTGCAAGGGAATAGCCATCTATGTGTCAGGTAGACATAATGGTGTAAAATTTACACGTACTATCTACCATACACCCCCGATTGTTCCTCGTTAAAAATTATATCCGGTAATAATTTGACAAACGGATGAGATAGGTAAGGAATGTGATGTCTTCTCATGAACAGCAAAATGACGTTCGTCGTAGGTGTTTTCAACCGCAGAACATACGATACTTTTCATACAAACTGTCTTTTCGCATCGTCGTAAGTTTTTAAAGTCTTAAAAGTTGATGTGATCACTGCCTTTCCTTCACATTATAAGCGCATTGTGTGCCCGGGAGCAGTTAAATGATTGATCAATTCGTGGAATAATTCAACCAGACTTCAACTGCACAGCATGACCATAAAAGTAGTGAAGGAAATGAACGCACTGATCACTTCCAAGAATGATAGCACACCATCCGATTTCCATAGCAAGTGTTAACCAGGGTGAAGTCAAATATTAAAGGAGAACAGAAGGTTGGCTATTTCTGGTGTACATAAAACTGCTCATTTTTAGAAATGCACTTCAGAAAGTGTGGATGAGAAAGATCATGAGATTATATATATGTGTTCACTACTTATGCTAGCCCGATTTACCGAAGTTGTATATTGAAGTCGCTAATCAAAAGCATCTTCACTTTGCTACGAACATTGCGTGTATTTTGTTTGTACGAACATCTATCAGCGTGGACTAGTCTAATGTTTCTGTCATTTATTTATTTTATACATATCTAAAGATGACTCATTAAGCATTTTCTCACACAATACTGTTTGATATACTCCCTATCTTTCTACAGTGATTCCAGAAAGTAGTCTGAAAGACTAGCTGTCTTGGATGGGTAGTCGCGATAAGGTTCAGCTGAGAAGCTCAAGTCTACATTAACTCCTCAGAAGTAGGGAAATTTAAATCGCATGCTTTCTAAGTGGTAGCCTAAACTACAGGCAAACAATTTCAACGCCAAACACCTACTTAAAAATATCACAAGAACGGACCACGTCGACGTAAACCAAAGGTGATATGAATATTAATATCAACCCTGTACACGTCAGGATCTACTTTTATAGCTCATAATGGTATGTTTAGTTGTTGGAAATTCATCAACAAATGACGAATCGGAACAGCAGATATAACAGATGGGACGAAGACTCTGTTATGTTGTACGGAGTTATAGGAAACCCTTTTGGAACTGGTCTATCTTCAATTTTATTGCCCTCTAGATTACAACACCAAAGAAGACATGCCAGGTTAGTTAAATCATAAGAATGAAGTCGTCACCATCGTGTACCTGCTTTTGCGTCAAGTAATCAACCCTTGGAAACGACTACTGGTGTCCGAACCAACAGTTGAATTACTAAAAACATTACCAAAATACAAAGATCGATAAGAAAGGAACTAACATAAGCTCATAGTCTTCTATCATCAAACCTAAATTTGATATTGGCATCATGGAATAACTTGATTATTCACTTATTCTACACTTCATAGATGATTTAAAGCACGATATGTTCGCCAACTATGGTCAGAATTTCTTCTAAACAATTTTAATGACTACACCTCTTGGAAACTACGAAGCAAGGCAACAACAGAATTGCGGCTACCAAGAAATGGTGAGGAGCCGAAACGAAGGGAGAACAGATTAAGACGAGGCTAATTTTAAACGAGTTAGACATCATTTGAAGAAGAGATAGACAAAGAAAACACAGCTCAACATTAACCCCTTTTCTGACACGAGGTTAAACTTCAATTCACTTTTACTTTTCCACCTTCGCTCTAGAAATATGCTAGGTATATTTTGGGGAATTAGTGGCTTGGTTATTAAGGTATACCAATGAAAAGGGTGCCAAATAGTTAAATGATTTCGGTGGTAGTGGATCCGGTAGTTTAAAATATGGGAAAATCTTTAAGAAAGGCTATAAATCTATAAAGTTTTTTTAGGCAACGAACCACGTTAAAAAGTGACGTACAACTTGTAAAAGGCGCTTCCAATATCCAATATCCTCTTGCGAGCTAGTATAAACCAAGTGGTTTCTTCGTGCTCGCTTCTACGTTTTGCTTAAAATGATTTCAGCTTATGTAGGGCAGCGAATTGCTACAAATGTTTGTTGACGGAAAAGAAGAAGCCTTCAATTAACCGATGTCCTTGTCTGGAACCAGTGGACCGCTATAGATCCTGTGTCTTAGACCTTATGTATCGATGCAACGACTGTCTGTTCATAGGTTTTCGCCTAGTCTTTAGGTGAGCTGCTGCGGAAGGATGCAAAGGCGAGTGTGAATTTCTTGGTGATCATGAGAGTTTGAAAGCAAAACCATGAGGAAAATAGTAGATCCGGTGTGTCATCAAGCACAAATAATGTACTTACACCCAAAAATATATGGCTGGTAAACAGCAGCAATTCGCAGTGAAAATACTGGACAGTCTGGGAATTAGAATTAGAAAATGTGTCGGTAAGGCTTCAGATGAGTTAAATCCTGATGGAGAAGAGAAAAATAAATAGTATATATAAAATCTGGCTTCAAGCAACTTAGTCGGTAGCCTCAACATCGAGTTTATGTGTGAAGACATGTATTTATGTAACTCCAGCTACTTCTATGGAAGGATTGTTACAAACCCTAAGACGTTTAGGGAGAAAAAGTCACGCCTAACGCCTGTCCTTCTTTGTTGAAGCTCCGACTCTTTGGTGTTCCTTTTAAGGGCTTAGCTTTCGCAAGTTTTGAAAGGCGACCTGAAGTATTATATATATTGTGTGTCGCCATAAGGTCACTTCTCGGTCATCCGTAATCCAAGGGATATATACCCGAAGCTGCCATGCGTCCCTCGTATGGCTTGAACCTTTATACATTGGGGGGATTAAGTGAAGCGGCACTAGATACCTTCTAAATGCTGCTTGTCTCTCAGAAGCGAAGGAGGAAAGGTGATAGTCCGAGTAAAGGGCCTTTTGAAACTACCAAAAATATCGTGGAAACCGCTGCGACCGAAAAGCCCAAAGAGTCTTGGTAAGTTTACGAGTGCCAAGTTTGCAGGGAATGCCCTTTTTCACCGTTGGCAGGTGGCCTAAGGCTGTGGATGACTGGGACAGTAATATTGATCCCACTCTGAATAACTACCGCCCAGTGCCGTCTATTTCAAACGTTGCCTTGCGTCGTGCCTTATATGTCGCTGTACATTTTTAAGTCTTTGTCCACCATAGTATACGCAATGTTGAGGTCAAGTCAAGTCACTCTGCAAGAAAGTAAACCGCTTTTTTCTGGGATGTCCCCAGACACCTTTGCTTCATCGGGAGAGGGGAGGGTACCAGAAGACATTTGCAGAGAACTATTATGTGTGTAAATGAGGAATAGGAGGGGCTCTAAGACTAAGCTACGGAGGGCCGCATCAAGCTATCTCGCTTTTCTGGACACTGCAGGACTCACCCGATCCGCAAAGTTGGTAAATTAAATGTAGTGGTAGCCAGTTGGCTGACGAAGAACCGACGCCCACTAACCGCAACTTGGTGCTAAGACAATTATGGTTGGTGCCATCAAAAGCCATACGGAAATGGAGGTATATGATATCTATTCAACGCCAACTGTCAGTTGATCCAGTTCAGCTATCATCTGCGGTCAGCAGATCAGCGATGAATATTTTTCCCGGGCCATACTGGTGGGGTTCAAGAAAGTCAATGGATACCAGATAGTCGCTAGCTGCTAAGTGGCCTTTCTGCTTAAAATCTAGGGACATAAACAAGAAGGAGTTCCAATAAACTTCAGCGTAACATTTTTGGTTTCTGCTTTCGCACTTTTTTCACGTTTAGGCGTGTACTCTGTCATAGCTGTTAAAAGTCCCCTTAAGGTCAACACGATTGAAGTTTGTCCGTTACTCAATGTCTGCAGTGTGGTGGTTGTGGTGATTTATTTCACCAAGTATGAGTCAGAATAGCATCCGCTGATCATACGCGACGCAATAAACCTGCCCTTTTCTATGCATACGGCTTTTGGTACCAGTCTTTGATGGCAGTGATCCAGCAGGTTGTGGATGGAGTGCTTGTAATATTGCTGATAACACGGTGACAAGTTCTAGGCCGGACGGCATTTCATCTAGTGCAAGAGACAGCAAAACAGCTCGCTAACACAAACCGGTTGAGGATTCGTACCGGAAGAAGTAAAAAAGGTTTTCGAGGTAGGTAGTAGGTTGCGGTAATCTATCCTCAAGGAAAAATTTCGGCCTAGAGTGTAAGAGATCGCTGATGAATGAAGATACAAACCATGATTTCCAAGCCAGCCTTGCATGTCGATTTGGGGGCGTGTCAAGTATGAAATGCTTGTTACATGGGCTGTGTATTGTCGTTGCCCGACACTTGGTCAACCTAAACCTAACCTTGCCCACTTGTAAGTACCGATGACGAAGGGGAAATTACAGAACGCCTTGTGCGATGAAATTACTCGGAAAACGGTCTATTTATTGGTCGGAGAATTAGAGGATAAACTGGGCAGGGGGAACGTTAGCTCATCCGTCCACTTATGGCTGAACTAAGGGCTCTGAGCTAGTTGTTGCCAACCAGAACAAAGAAGATGTGAGAATAGAGATCGTCAGCGTGCGGGTGCCTATGCACGAAGAAACTAAGGGAACTAAAGTCACTCGTGAACGCCACTACTGTTTATATATTTGAATGTCCATCTATTTATCTTCAGCCCGACAAGACTTCAGTGCCAAGATGGTGCGCCACATACTTAGCCCCACTGTAGGGCTGTGAATATAGTATGGTTTCGTCTAACTTGGTACCGAAAGATGTGATTTTTGGTCGGGATACTTGCCCAAATGTTTGTCTAGCAGACATACCAGTGGCCATAGGTTACATTTTTTTGAATGACCGATCTAGTAGTGTAAGGAATGCAGAAGGGAAAGCTTCTGAAAGGTTTAAGAAGACTTTAAAGGTACCACCGCAGTCTATTCCTCGGTCTGCTTCTGGAAGATCTCTTCACGGAGCATTTTGTGTAACCAAGCCTGTCTTTGTCCCAAGTACAGTGCCTTGGGAACTGGAGGGATGTAGTAATCAGTCTTCCGTTCAAGGGCAGAAACAAACAACAAGCCGTTAACTCCCAACCTGTTAGTTTTTCCGGTTTTGTAGTTCGTATGGCAAGCAAGATACTACGTGTTGAATTAGTAAACCATTTAGGAGCGCAAAACCTCTTGACGCAGAAGCAACGTGGCTTACAAGCCGTATACGCTCTGATCAGGAAAGATTGAGTTAAGACTGTGGACAGTAAACCCCTTGCAGACATTATGTTTTTAACTTTACCAGTTCTTTCGAAACAGTCACACAAAATGACAGGGCCTGAAAAGTGATTCCAGCAAAAGTGCTGTAACTCGCTAGTCCTGGCAGATACCGACTGAATGATCATCTAGTGTCTCAGGTTCTAAAGTGGAAAAACTTCAGTGCTATCGTGAACCACGAATCCAGAAGGACCTGGGGTAGTGATACCTCTGCGGCCAAATCGTTTTACTCGCTTCAGGTGCTTCGTAGAGCAGTCAAATGTTTTGATGAAAGTGAGGTAACAATGATTGGATGGCTAAAAAAACTTAGTTCAGAACACTGTATCCGAGTAAATAGTCCTTGCTTTATGGTGTAAGGTGAAACGTCAGAATGAGTCCGAGGATTTGCCACCAAATCCGTGATAGATCTTGCCCATGTTTTCAGCGGACGGTGATCTTAAATCTTCTCTTTTCCTATCGTAGGAAAATAGATTATCTGTATTTGGCCATCTGGATGCTGAATAATAACTGGGTTATAGGTTTATCTAGTTTCGGGACCCCCCCCTAAGGCTGATCATCTTACATCCCGAAGGTTCAGAATCCAAAGGCCACAACGGAATCATCATCACTTGTGTCGGCGAGTGGTCGACGGCTGCGCCTTATTGCCCAGGAAATTGGTAGAACCATCTCTGGTGAACGCATCGAAGGAAAAACCGAATTCTTGCGAAGATAAGTGCTCGAAGATGAGCAGGTTGGTGGTCTACTATCACCTTCACTGAAGAATAAGGAGCGAGGGCAGACTGAGGTATAAATGCTCCACTTCAAGTTTGGTTTTGATTTCAACCTCTAGAAAGGATGAAGTACTTGACCCGTAAATTTGGGATTTCATAAGTTCGCTTGAGACCAACAAGCCTTTTCCCCTATTCCACGTGATACGAGCCAAATACTTCTGTGTTTTCGGCACGTCGTTTTACCCCAGTCCCCAGTCTCATTCGGCACACCACCTCTGAACGTGTCTTTACTTGGTCTTCATCAGGTTATCAAAGAAAGGCTTTAGTCACAAACTCAAAACCAATCTTTAAGAGAACTTCGCAGAACCTGTGAAGCACTGGTAACCATACTATCCGTAATCTTATCCCATGGCTGAGGGGTCAGAATCAGCGAGGGACGCGTGCTTCTCGAAGTAAATAAAAATGCAGATGCTGTGACACCTAGGATCTCTTTTCGCCAAAGACACTTTCACTGGGTCCGTACGTCTGACTTGCATTCAATCATACATGAAAACCTCAAGTCAGTCAAAACTTGAAGTTGGTTAGCTACAGTTTGCCCAGCTTCTAGTCCTGGACAAACCGCCTAACAGACTGGGCCTGTTGCTTTGATGTCTGACGTCTCCCAGCGACCTGGAGTCACCAGTAAGAAAAACGATCCCTGGAAATATGCACTCAGGCGAATCATTGGAGTAGGTTAGCAGGAAGAAGGCCTTCATTGACGAACCCCAAGAGAGTTCAATATCTCCCCACGCTTGTTTGAAAAGGGTATAACTCTCCCAAGTCTCTAACTTAAGGCTACCCAAATATGCTGGGGAATAGATTCGCTAACTTTTGGACACGGCAGTTGTAGGTTGGGAGGGAAAACCGTTAAGAGTTCGAGATATATTTCACAATGATTATCCGAAGAGGATTGCACAAGGAGATTAAGTACACGAATTTGGATTCATTAACATATCTCTGATTTCTAGGCATCTGATCATTTTCCTGAGGA